GAATTACAATATCGAGAGTATTAATGATTTCTAGCTTATTTCTATTATTATTCAGGGAACTTAGTTTGTTTTTGATATCTCAGATTATAATTGACAAAAAATAGTACAGAATAGGAACATTGAAAGGGCCGAATTAAACGAAAAGAGCTAAAGGCCAAATAATAATTGTGCTTCGAATAGGAATAAGTTGGCTTAACAAGTTTAATGTAACAAAATATGTATGTAAATATGCATGATGTATTTTGAACAGCAAAGACGGCATCAATCATTATAGATGCGATGGAAATCTATACATATAGGACCCTTAGATCCAAAGAATACAAGCTAGGACGACCGATGACAACGCTGTTCATTTGACGGACATTACATGCAGGAGGTGTGAAGGTGGCAGTGGAAGCCATGGTTCTGTGAGAACATTGAAATGAGCATTCTCTCGTTAACCACCGAAAAGAACGTATGCAGAAAATGGAACAGTAGGAATGTTATTTCAGTTGAGACTGGGGAGGCAGCTAAATGATAGGGATGCGGCTTATGTAACTTTCCATTGCATGAAGTTAGAAGTCAAAGGTATCATTTAAATTTGAGTTGTAATCTGTAATTTAAATGAAAATAGACTGTGTTCGAAGTAGATTTATATTAGAATACATCCTCAGTTGCGGAGGATATTTAGCAAGTTGGGTTGAAGATCGTGAAGTCGCGCAAGGTGTTTCAGCCGAAGCACAGCCAGGGCAAACCACGCTCGCGAATTCACTTAGTTGCAATTATTGAATTCTATGAAAGTACCAAATTCTTTAGAATACTTCGGGAACATTTGTGAACCTATTCTGACGCTAGGCAAGATCACGATTATAGGGACACCAACGAGGATATCCTACAGACGATCTCAAACCAGAAGATTTGGAAGACGTGTGAGAAATCATCATAGAGAGCAAAGAACACAGTAAACCCATGAACATTAAATCAGATCCACACGGGGCTATACATATCGTACATAGCAAACCAATCATATCACTAATGAGTCCAATATACGATAATTTGTGACAGTATTATAATAAATAATAAATTATTATTGAAAAAGAAAAGGCTAACAATTTGTAGTCAGTTGCCATCAACTCAAAATGTGGTTTCAACTACAACGTCCAGGAATTGCAATTCTGTACTTGCACGTCCACTTACAACTGGTAAAAAGGTAATAGATTGTATGTCGAGTCGAGTTGTTTTGGTTTTTCGCCCCAGCAATTGAAAGGTCTTCAAAACATAAATAGGATGTTTGTTCTCGTTGGAAATATTGTTTCTATTCAATTGTTTACTTTTCTCATCACTGTTTAGGAAACTGAGTTCGGCATTTTCTTAGTATACAATGGTTATTGTGGGAAGTGCCGAACACGGTGGGGAGAGCGTTTGATATGATGGGACAGGAGTAAGGGTAATAAGTTACGATTTTCTTTTTTGTGGTAAGGGATGGATGGGTGAGTATAGAGTATAAACCGTTGGTGATGCGGGTGGCTACCATTGTGTGGTGGATGTTGTATGTCCAATGGAGCCAACGGGAGGTTAGGCCAAGGTATTTCATTTCGTCTTTTCAAGGGATTGGTGTGTGTGCTATGGTAAGGGGAGGGGTGTTGTTGGGGAAAGGTTTATTTGAAAAGATGATTGCTTGTGATTTTGAGGGGTTGGTGTTGAGTTGTTGGCATTTCGGGAGGCCCAGAGGTTGAAGGAGTTTAATGCTTCTTGGAGGCGGATGAGGGATCGGTTTAGGGAATGAAAGAATGTAAGGAGGGCAAGGAAGTTGTGAACTCCAGGTGTGCAAGGCAATCTTTGACATAAATGGACAATAGGATCGGGGATAGCACGGCACTTTGTGTGACGCCGGCTTGGATCAGGTGATTCGGTGAGATTTTAGGCAGCGAACATGGAAAGATCGTTGGTTGAAGTAGCTCTTGAGAAATGAATGGAAATTATTTGGGACATCAAGACGGAATTTCATGAGAAAGATTTGGTGGAAAATTGTGCCGTGTGTGAGGCTAGGTTTGGAAGGAGGGGATTTCTTTCTATGATCTTGGAGTGGAATGGCTATTGCAAGGGAGAGTTTTAGAATTTGGTTAGGGGTTGGGTGTTTGTCGTAGGAGTGGGATTTGAAAATTGTCAGGAGGAAAATTGCTGACGATGAAGAGGAGGCTTATGAGGCGGTGAGGAAGTAAGAAAGTTTGAGGCAGAAGTTGAGGATGAGGGTAAGTAGGTCTACTGCATTTCTATTTACGTTTCTGAGTTGGGATGGGAAGACTCCATCGGGTCCTGAAGTTTTTGTACAGTACATCGTCCTTAGGAATTGTGAAACTTCGTCTTTTGTCCATATTTGTTTGTCAGGTGGTAGTGAATGGGTTTTCAGGTAGTCGTATTTGTGAGCCTCATGTTGAAGTCTGTATTCGTGTTTGTGTTACGTTTCTTGCCTTCGTCTCGTCTGTATTTATAGTAGTCTTTGTATTCTTCGTTTGTGTTTAATCATGGCGAAGATTTTATCAGAGAGGATGGGGTGGTAGTTTGTAGCGTAGGGTGTTTTGAAGTAGGGCTGATGTGGAAAGTTATGTGGTCTAGGGATTAGTCTACGAATTCTACGGTGTGGTATTTGGAGGAATGTGAATTTTCTTAGAAGGGTGTTTAAATATTTATGTAAATGTAAAATGTGGGGAGTTGGTGGCATGGGAAGTGTCTAGTAGGAATCTGTAGAGCAGGTGAAGTCAATAGGGAGATGGTCAGAAATGTTCAAGAGATAAACATTTCGGATATGAAGAGGTTATGAAGAGCTGCGAGGAGTGGCTCAGTGTCTAGGATATGAGGAACGTTGAGGATGTGGGTTGGTCCCGGGGACCATTTCAGGTGGAAGAGAAGTTTTGGTAAACATTTAGAGTAGAAATCTTGTGCAACTTGTTACGCAGCTCCATGGAGTTAATTTACTATTTAGGTCGCGGAAATTATAAATAGGTAGGGCCTTTTTAACATGTCGAGGTCGGACTGGGGGACTGGAATACTTGGTTTCTTGTAGCAGGATATGAGGCGGATTGGGGCTGATGATGCTATTGCAATGGCAGTACATTCATGCGCAGTTGACTGAGAATATCGATAGCATTGGATGGAGGGTCGGGTGAAGATAGCCGTGCCACCTCCAGAGGATGTGAATTTGTCGGATCGGGTGGTGATGTACTTTGGAATGGTGAAAGGTCTGTCGGGTGTCAGCCATGTCTCCTATAGTAAAAGAATCCCAAAGAAGTAGTTTTTAGGAATTTCTGGATTGTTTTTTCTGGTTTAAACCACCTCTTGCGTTCCCCGAGGGCAGAGTTAGTTAAGGATTTTTACTACTTTGATACCGATGGTGACTAGTTTGATTTCCTCTGGGTCTTTCGAATTTCTAGGAGTGGTTTTCGGTTGGCTATAATTTTCTGGACCGAGGGATATTGAAGGAGAAATTTGATTTCATGCGCTGTGGATTTTTGGGAGTGATTTTCTGTGGGTTTGGAACTAGTTGGTGCTTGAGGCAAAGGAGGCATTTTGTGTTAAATGAGTAAAAGTTTGTTGAGAAAATTTGGGGGTTTGGGGTAGTGGTTTTCATGGCTTGGCGAAGAGTTTTGGCTTTCAGTACCGCTGGGCAAGATGGATAATATCCAGGGTGGAGCAGGGGACAGTTGATACATTTTGGTGTGAATAATCGGTCAGTCTAGGAAGAGCACTCTTCAGTAAAATGGGCTTGTGCGCAGAGAGCGCATGTCGGGGTCCGTCAAGAGCGATGTTTTGTATGATAGTCTTTGTTAACTTGTACAGTGAGTGAGCAAGTCTGTTGTCTTGAAGGCTTCTAGTCTAACCGTGTAGTAGTCAATGTATAAAAGCATCATTTTGAAGTCTCATTTCCCGCTTGTCTCCAGTGTCAAATGCCAAGTGGAGTCTGTGTCCCGTTGTCTCGTGATGAGGGCACGCAATGTTCTCTTTGGTGAAATTAAATTTGGATCATTTAAAAATTTTCGAGGTTCCTTCCCTAGCACGTCTACTAGTATATCAAGGGCTGATTTATCACATTTTCCTTCTTTAATTACTTCTCACTCTTTCAAAGATATTTTTATTCGCTTCCCACACTAGAACTATTATCAGTGGTTGCCCCAACAGAAGACATACGGCAAATCTTATCTGCAGTCAAGTATTTTACTTTACAGCGAAATAGCAGATCTACTTTATCGCACTGAATTTAGTTTTCATTTAAATTCATGCTTAATTTTGATCAATTTTTATTTGCTTAGTACGGCGTTCACAATTAATTTCATTCTCAGACCCAATGGATTTTCTTCTTAATTTTCTATTGTTTGACTGATCCATGTGCAAAGTTATTAAGCGTTCATAACGAGTTAAAGTTCTTTTCAAACTTCAAAAACACGTATCCCACAAAGCTGTTTGTCCACACTAGAACTGTGTAAGCATGTTCGATAGATTCCTCCCAAGGAGAGCCAAAGATTATTGGTTTCTAGTTCTTTAGATGTAATACTTACATTTGATACAAAAATTGTCATTCTCTTCATGGTATTTTTTTAAAATTGTCGTTCAACACCTCCAGTGACGTAACACTTCCAAATTCGCAACACCTACGTCAATCACTTCTATTTGTTTGTTTTTTTACTAATGGGATTTACGTACTATTATATTCCTTCTCACGTGAAACAGCAGCATTTACTAGAACTACTGATTCACATTGCAATAGGTAAGATACAGAACTCTAGCTTTCTTCTTTCACATCACAGAGAACTGAAATACTCTAGAGACATTTCCTCTGACAACACTTCATATCAGTGTTTGTGGTTGTTGCCGCTGCCGACAAATCATGTGAAGAATAACTAAAAATGTACATTTCTTTGCTGGGCAAGTCTAAAGAAGCAATACGGGCCAGATCCGACCCGCGGGCTATAGCTTGAAGAGCTCTAAACTAACACAATATTTGCAGATGAATGCTTTGTACCTACCTTTCTCTTCCCTTTTATCGCCGATTAGTCCATCAACTTTGTTCATCACAGCTTCCTTGTCCCATTTAGAAACCCCATCTCTACGTTCTCTGAACTCAATTTTCCCGAACCCACCACCTTTACCTTCTCTGAATCCACCGCGCCCACCCCTAAACCCACCGCCTTCTCCATCCTTGAATCCACCGCGCCTTCCCCTAAACCCACCTTCTCCACCCCTGAATCCACCATGCCCTCTCCTGAACCCACCGCCTTCTCCACCCCTGAATCCGCCACGGCCTCCCCTGAATCCACCGCCTTCTCCACCCCTGAATCCTCCACGCCCTCTCCTGAACCCACCGCCTTCTCCACCCCTGAATCCTCCACGCCCTCTCCTGAATCCATCTCCTTCTTCATCCTTGAGTCCACCGCGCCCTCCACTGAATCCACCGCCTTCTACATCCTTGGATCCACCACGCCCTCCCCTGAATCCACCGCCTTCTCCACCCCTGAATCCACCACGCCCTCTCCTGAACCCACCGCCTTCTCCACCCCTGAATCCGCCACGGCCTCCCCTGAATCCACCGGCTTCTCGCCCTGGAAATGCACCACGGCCTCCTGACCCTATCCTCACCAGCACCCCTACCTCCTCTGGACCCCCTGAACCCACGCCCCATCCGTCCCTCACCCTGCCCCCCTGTAAATTCATTGAATCTGACACCTCCTCCCCTCCCACAAGGCGAGCTGCTGGAGAACTTCCCTCTCTTGTTGCCGAAATCATTTTCATCCCCGGAATGGGGTCTCTTGTTACTCTCAGCAGACTCCATCCCCGTACCTGAAAACAATTCAACGTATAAACCCAGTTGATGTAGCAGATATTTCTGCGCAGGCACTCTTATGCAAGCATCTTCAGAAATATTGCAAAAATGTTTTCACTACTGAAATCCTACACTCCCCATGCAGTGACATCAGTGGTCCTCTCAATACACGAGTGTGATATTACGATCGTAACATCGTAAAGGTCACACGAGTGTATTAATACCCATTTCATAGTTTCATACGGTACTTTTTCTACGACTTACGGTATCTTTTATAATTCAAACTTTTACACTGAATCGTTTCGTGGCAGTGGACATGCAGGATACAGCCATGGCCAGTTCGTGAACAGCTCCACATCCTACCCGGCGCAGATGGCTTTGGTTTACCACTGCGCTAGTCAAGACGGATCAAAGAGAAATTGATATTATTTGTTCTCAGAAGAAGGCAATCTAATGTATTGTACTGGTATTGATGCATTACTAAGTTTTTTGGAAGATCATCATGATGCTAAGAAATGACGGTTGTTTATAGATTCCTCTAAACTCCGTTTAAAAGCCGGGCTTATTCATATCGCAAATGAGTAACTACTTATTCGTGTTTCCTATGGAACCCATATGATAGAGACGCACGTTATCATCAAACCTTTGTTACTGACGATACAATACCAGTAGTATTCATGGAATGTATACGATTTGAAAGATAGGCCTCAACATCAGATAACCGGAAAAAAAATAACGTTGCAATCTCTTATAACGCTGCACACATATCTTCCTTCCTTGCACACCGAATTCGGGTAGATGAAAAATTTTGAGAAGGTAATGGCAAAAGTGGGTCAGGTTTCCTGTACTTAAAGAACGAATTCCTGAGGATCAGCGAGGATAAAACACAGAAGGTACATTTGTAGGATCACAAATGAAGGATTTTATGAGATCATGACTTTGAGACAAGTTTTAATAGTTTGTTAAACATGTTTTAATAGAGGGCTGGAGGGATGTCGCTTCAGAAGGTCATAACGAAACTCCTTGATAACAGAAAAACTGAGACCTATGTACAAATAAGATCGGAACTCCTTCACAATAATAGAGCTCTCAATGTCACATGTTCCGTAATATACACGTTCTATATTCATTCGTTTTTTCCTGAAAATCTAGGTGCTCTGAGCGACGAACACAGTAGTCGAGGTGTTGTTCGATTCCACCAAGTCATTGCAACTATGACAAAATTTGATAAGGGAAAATGAAATCAAAATATACTTCCAGACAAATGCAGGACACTAACAACTAATATACTCCAACGAAATACAGTAATCAATCGTTTCGCATTACATTTTGATACAAATTATTATAAGTAAAGAAAACTAATAACATAACATTTGTGTGTACTTTATCATTGCTTATTACAAAGTAATCTTGCCCGTTACAAATGAATACTCTACAGATTTGAAATCAGAGGCCCATTTTTCATAACAGCCATTATATTCCATTTAACAGACAAAACATTAGTTTTATTTTCAAAACGGGCTACTAAAAATATTTGGGGGTCAATTGGATACTGCAATTTAAATTCCCTTAGGAAATTGACTAAATCTCATAAAAAATCAGAACGTCGAATTCAATGCGTTGTGGACTCCTAGAGATCAGGTAAAACGCCCAATGAACGCATAAACAGCACATACATTCGTTGCAAAACCAGAACGTAAAAAAGAGTCGAGGAGTCTTGAATTTATAGAGTGATTTATAGCACAAGACCTTTCATCTCACTGTTTCAATTAAATATAACCATTATATAATAAAGGAAATTATGTTGAATGTTTGAATTGTTTAAAAAGATGGGACACTGTACTAAAAAACATTTTAAACGGCAACAGTATTTAAAGGTAGTCAACAACCAATTTCTTATTGTGTTGCAAATGAAAGATTTACAACTAGTGGTGTCGAAACCAGCACGTTCTTTCCAACCAGTGCTTTCGCGCGAAATGTACTGAAATTTTCGAACAATTGTACATGAGCTTATTTCATAATATATACTTAGGGACCAGATTCCAGTAAGGGAAAAATCCTATCTTCATGCTTGTAGGATGATGCCAGAAAATGTTGAATTTTTACAATTTTCAAAAATCAAAGTTTTCAACGAAAATCAGACCTGCACCATTCTCTTAAACGTTCTTTACACTATTCAACAACACAATTTAATCAAAAACGATGGGGCAATATTGTTGAAAATTTTGAAAATGCCCCAAGGGCCGTAAAGTACCCCACAAAATAAAAACATCGGTTTCAAATTCATGGCCCCGCGACATCAGCCACATCGATTGGGGAGTGTCTAGTTCAATTTGTCGCCACCAAGTAGCAGCACCAAAATAAGCCAAAATAACTTTACTAATAAGTGTCTGAACAAGTGGTCTAATTGCCGATCAGTATACGACATAGGATTTGTATTTAATATAAAATTCACACTACGAAGTCTCTTTGAAAAAAAATTGAAAAATTAGTTTTAGAATAGTCTTGGGAAGAAAATTAACAATGCGATGGCAAAGTGCTACCTGAATCCAACTCCATATCAATCGTCAAAATCGACTGAATAGGCGCGTCGTAAAGTGAAATTTGGCAAAATACAATACCCCCCCCCCCCC